ACATATGGCAACACAGCAAATCCTTTCGTCTCATCCTTTCCCTCTTTAACTCCATTGTCTTTCTTCCTAATAACACTGTGCCGTTGAATGAACTTCTCTGGATAACCATTCTTCAACAAGCTCTTCTCAAGGTGCTCTTGTTCCTTTCTTTTTGATGTTTCGTCAGACAGCAACGATTCCTTCCTGTACGCGAGAGTGTGGACCACTGCAGCCTTGTGCTTGGACGGGTGGTGGCTATCAAAATGCAAATATCTGTCCGTATGGGTYTTTTTACGGTACATGGACACTTGTATATATCTGACTTGTGCGAGAAAATATTGAATATTGCCTTTTACTATTCTAAATGCCATTCATGATGTAACCTGCTGATGAGTGGTGATCATGCAAAACTCACGCAACAAATCAATGAGTATTTCCAACGTTACTCGATACATTTGCCAYCTCGCCCCTAAGTGAAATCAGCTTTAATAACATGAAGAATTCAAACAACTGTAAGTTAATAAGTCGCTTATTGTGCTTGAGTTTTGGTGAGTGTCATGATATTGTTCGCACATCGGACTACGGCAAACTAAACGAAATTTTTATTGGCATGCATATTCAGTCACTGGGCGAATGCAAGTAATATAAAATAACAGTAGGTCTTTCGAAGAGATCGTTTTAGTTGTAGGAAGTACAATCTTGTTAAGACTTTGCAGATGATTTCGTGAACATGAGCATTCCATTTTAGAACGTTAATTATGGTAATGTATGGTAATTTTGCATTTTCAACCTTGTTGATGTCGGAATTGTTAGCAATGATAGGCTCGAAAGAGCGCATACATTTACTGAATGTAATACACAGTTCTTTGCATTTTTGCTCATTTACTTGGAATTTATTGACTTCGGAACATGTTACAAGGTCGCGAACTGCTTCTTGTATGCTACTTGGTTGATGTTTTTCGAGAGATTCAGACATGGTAACATCGTCGCCGACGTACTTCCAGAGTTTCACCCCTGGCAAACATAAGTCATTTATCATAATGAGAAAAAGCCATACTCCTAGCTTGATCCCATGGGGGACACCAGCACGTACTTCACGCCATTCTGAAATACAGTCACCTAAAAGCTTTACACGTTGTTTGCGATGTTTTAGGAAATCTACAATCCAGAGTACTACATGTGATGGAAGGTCGAAGAGTGTGAGTTTGTTTACGAGAATGTTATGATCAATAAGATCAATGCTTTTCGAAAGTCAAAGAGCACAACTCTTGTAGTAGCTCTGTTGCCGTCAGTATTAGTTAACCACGTGTGTATCATGCTGATAAGTGCTTGGGCGGTAAATGATTTTAGAATAGCACCAAATTGAAGACAATCAATCTTTGCCATTAAGGCAGGTTATACATAACTCTGAACAGCGAAATCTTCAGCAACCTTTGTTAAAATTGGTGTGAGAGATATGGGAAGTAAGTGTTTGTTGAYATCACTGATAGGACGTTGTTTTGGTACTGGTATTACGTCTGCTTTTTTCTATACGCCTGGAAGATAACACTCCAAAAAGGAACTGTTCAGAATCTCTGTGATAGGATCCGCCAGAAGGTCAGCATTCTCTTCTAAGAGCCATCCGAGTATTTCGTCTGGTCCTTGAGGCTTTGTTGGATTTAAGTCGAAGAGTTTCTTCATGACTGAGGTGGGAGTGACCTTTTGGGGTGGTTCGGTGAGAGGAGTTGAGTCCTGATCAGGTAACGCCGGAACATCTTTCATAGGTGCTAAAAAGGTACTGTTGACCATGTTCGCAATGTCTACGTCGCTTGGTTGCTCTTGTTCGACAAGGTTCTTTAAAACTTTGATGATGTTATCATGTGTTCTTGTAGATTTCTCTTTACCGCTGAGTTTTTTTTTCCTCCTTCCACCAATTGGCTGGTGAGCATTCTTGCATTCATTGTAATATTTGGCTCGACATATTTTACGTTCACGGTTAACAGTATTTCTAAGGCGACGAAACACGACTAGGTCATCCGTAAGGCAGACTGACGTTTCTTTATCAAAGATTTCAGACGGGGGTTGATCCATGGCGGTTTCGCTGGTATGAACAGTTTTGGTCTTTATCGGTGCAATGAAGTCAAGGTCTGTGCGTACAGTGGTTTCCAGCATAGATGTTTTGTCTTTGCATGAATGAACTGAGGCTATATGATTGGCAACGTCAACTTGCTCGAGATAAGATCGCATTGCAAGACGGATAGATGGTCAGACAGGTCAAAAGGAGACTTTTTTATATTTTTATTGTGTATCATAGTGATTTTTTAGGTTGGTGAGAATCTTATTCAAAAAATTACGCCCACGCCTTGGAAGTTGTACAATTTGCTTTAAACTATAGTTGTGTTAGAAGACCATAAATGGTAGAGACTTGAACTTGTTTTTTTTTCTTTTATAATTCTTGGGTCAAGACTAGATCTCTAGTTAAAAACTATAGAAAAACTAGCTCTCTTCTAAGACGAAATGACATTGTGCATNGACAGAGTAAGTAATGTATACAGAACGAGAGAGCGTATTGTATCGGGTGATAAAGATCCGAGCCGAGCCGATCCGAGCCGAGTTCTCGAGTTCTGTATACGGCTTATCAAACTTTATAATAATTCACATTTTCATGTTTTTGAAAAATTGATCGAATATCTTGCGGCATTTCATCGATTAAAATTATTAGCGGTAACGTATGTCGCCGTTATTAAATATTCGTCAAATATAACTGCTTGTATGGTGGCATTGTTTCATGAAACGACTTAATTATCAAGGGAATTTCTAAATGATTAATAGAAAGTTGGATTTGGCATATTAGAAGCTTTTACTACTTACTCCTGAAAATTGTTTATTTTCCTATTGTTTTTTAAAGAATGTGCTTGCTAAGCTATAGAAAATTAGAATTGTCAAAGGAATTGCAAGATATTAGGCATTCATAGTTAGCAAAAATTAAATCAGTTGGCTTCCATTTCTCCCTCGAAGACATGTCGAGTACGATGTTCCACAAAATATTCAACAAAATGAGCCACAACCTTATTTTGCGACTAGCAAAATGACTGTGTGAACAAGAAAGCCAAAAATGGGAGCATCAGATTCAGTTTCAAAAACAGCGAGTCATTTCAAGATGCTGACACTAATCTTGAAGACRTGAATGCCGAGTCGTTGATTTTTTTGGTTGTTCCAATTCATACAAGGCGGGGCGCGAAGCTTATCCGACGAACGAGTAAATTGCGCGGAAACGAAACMTTGCTTCAACATTGATTTTTTGTGTTTGATTGTGTTTGATTTCGCGCTAGTTTAGACATTTTGAATATTTTCAGGGGAGTGGGGGGCTGATTATTACTCAACGTTTTCCTGATACAGACCYAATTAATAAAACATTAGTTCTGTATCACTGATACAGAACTAATGTTTTATTAATTAGGTCTGTATCAGGAAAACCTTGAATAATAATCAGTCCCGCACTCCCCTGAAAAATATCAAAGACACCCCAACTTGAGTTTGCTGCACCTTTTAACGAATATAAAGGTATAATCACGTGATTAGATTCTCAGTATATCATTGGCTAATGACATTATGAATTATTAATGAGTTTGATAAGGGTTAATAAACATCAGTGAGTTAAGAGTCGTACACRCCACTAACCCAACACAAGGTTACACAACTTTGACCGTAGGTGTACTTGCTCATGAGACAATCATATGACTAACCTGTTGTATCTTGCCCTTGAAAATAACGCGGGCTTGTATATCGTACAAAATACATGCGTAAACCTTTGTTAATAATTATTGAATCGTTCCGTAATAAAAACATTTAAAAAGTATAAAAATATATGTTGAATTTTCTGTCCCTTAACAGTTGGATTTAAGTTTAGTTATATCCAGCTGGTTTAGRTCGCCAAGTAAGATTAACCCACAGTTGTTAGGCATGTAGTGAGATAGTTCAGCAGCTTTCAGAGGATGATAAATTACTGCAACAACAATGTTAATGATACCCCTAGGGAGACGATTTGGTCGTAAATCAAACCATARCTTCCAAATATTCATCTTGTAGGTCTTGAATAATGGAAAATGAGATTGATTCTTTCACAAAGAGGCAAACCCCACCATGGGTTTATTCTTTCCGATCTAAACGAACAAGGTTATAGCCTTGTACAATTTGTTATAGTCTATAGACCCCTTGCATGTGACGTCAAAGCCAGCTTCATCTGGAGGACAAAACAAAAGATTTTTATCCTCTTGGGAACTAGATTCTATTGTTTTGTCCTCCAGTTGGTGCATTCCCATGAACTGCAAGGGGTCTATTACAAATTTGTTTTCTTTCTACTGAATTCGCAAAAAATGAAAATATTTGGTTTCTCAAAATCTAGAAAACGTGGATAAAATGAAAAAGTTGTTGGATACTAAAACAATTAGACCTCTCGCCCTCATGGGCTACGTTCAATAGTATCTCTGTCCTCTGATATAAACACTCCCACCTTGTTTATATCAGAGGACAGAGACACAAGCGGCCGTTTTATATTTCTTTTATAAAATTTTTCGAGCGAAAAGAAAAATTTGCCGGTAAGCCGTGTCTCTGTCCTCTGATATAAACACGGTCGTCTGCCAATCAGAGCGCGCGTTATATATCAAAAATTTTATAAATACCATTATAACTGAGTCAACAGAATAATTTTATGTATATTTAATGTACTTTAGGGTGCTCGACATACTTATGCACAAATGGCTGGAAGAAATGTAGCGAACCCTACAGCTATGTTACTTGCTGCAGTTGATTTACTTCACCATCTAAAGTAAGCATCATTCATGGTAACTATGTCTACTAATTTTTAATTGATTTGCTCTGTCTTGATGCAATTCACTTTTCATTGATATGAGAGCTACAAAAAGTGAAATTTCAGTTTCAAATTTCCAAATGACATTTCTCATTTGTAAAGAAGCATCGAAAAAACAATTTTTATGAGTTACGATGTAAGCGCTACTTCAACCTAAAAGTTATTTATTTTCGTCGA